GTCCATTTTGTCACATGAATTTTACCTCTTGGGGGGGAAAAAACTTAGAAACCACTTTTTTTCAATAGTGCCAAGTATTTATTATACAATTTTTTAAAAAAATATTTATTTGGCTGCACTGGGTCTTAGTTGTGGCAGGGAGGATCTTCACTGCAGCATGTAAACACATATTAATAGTTCAGGCATGTGGGATCTATTTCCCTGACTAGGGAACGAACACTGGCCCTCTACATTGGGAGTGCAGAGTCTTAGCCACTGGACCACCAGGCAGGTCCCCTTATCTCACTTAATTTTGATAACAGCCCTGTCAGAATGGACAGATTTTTCCCTATCCCACCACATTATGTTATCCCCCAAACTGAATTCCAGTTTCTTTCAAATACATATAAAGTATATACTCAACCAGATGGCATTTTGAGAGGAAGTACATAGACTCTTAAGTCTGATTATAGAAAACCAACTAAACCTCATAGGCCTCAGGGTCCTGTTCAAGATGAAGGAAGTGACCCAATTCTAAAAGGCTCTTCTACTTTGTTCTAAAATTCTATTCAAACTCTCTGGTGCCTGTCTAATCACTCCTGGCCTCCTTTCTGCTGAGCCAGGATCACTTTCAGCAGTAGACATGATCTCTTTATGGTCCAAAATTTAAGAAAAGATTTACAAATACTAATTATGTTCTCTTGAATGAGCACTTTGGTTATTGTATTTTTTTCCTCTTTAGCAACTGTAGTAATTTCATAAAAACCCAATTACATCACACAGACCCACAGTATTACCTAAAGCTGAAACTATTAATAGGTTGACATTCTTAAGATCATTTTTTTGCCTGCCAGTAGCAAAGAATACCACATTCTCTAAACCTGTTTTGTTGTTGTTGTTTTTAGTTGCAGCATGCAAACTGTTAGTTTGTGGCACATGGGATCTAGCTCCCTGCCTGACCAGGGATTGAACCTGGGCCTCCTGTACTGGGAGCTCGGAGTCTTAGCCACTCGACCACCAGGGAAGTCCCAAACAGACCTGTGTATTGATCTCAGTATTTCAGACTCCCACATCTTTTGTTTTTTGGCTGGGTTGGGTCTTAGTTGTGGGTAGTGGGATCTTTGTTGTGGCGCAGATTCTTTAGCTGTGGCTCGTGGGCCCCGAAGCACTCAGGCTTAATTGCTCCATGGCATGTGGGATCTTAGTTCCTCCACTAGGGATTGAACCCGTGTCCAATGCATTAGAAGGTGGATTCTTTTTTTTTTTAACTAACTTCTAAAATTTTTGGCTGTGCTGGGTCCTCGTTGCTGCACAGACTTTTATCTGGTTGTGATGTGTGGGCTTCTCACTGTGGTGGCTTCTCCTGTTGTGGAGCACAGGCTCTAGGGTCTTCGGGCTGCAGTTAGTTTTGGCTCCTGGGCTCTAAAGAGCACAGGCTTAATAGATGTGTCACAGAGGCTTAGTTGCTCCGAGGCACTGGGATCTTCCTGGACCAGGGATGGAACCCTGTGTAGGCGGATTCCTTACCACTGAGCCACCAGGGATGTCACAGTATTCCTGTATCTTTAATGTGGGGCCTTAGAAGTTACTTAACTTCTGTCTCAGGTTTCTCCCCTACAGATAAGAAATAACTGATAAACATCGTTTCCAATGAGTAAGCCTGAAACTTTTTCCTGTCATCCCAGGCATATTAGGACATCCTTTTGTGCAACCATGTAATGACTCCCCATCTTAGGGAATGAGGGCCTGATTTAAACCTAAATTTAGGAATAAAATGAACCATGTCATTTCATACTGGGGATAGGTGGTAAGGGTTGTGGTAAAATAACAATAGAAATTCAGATTCAATGGCAGGCCTTGTATTAATTTTACAAGAAAAACAAGGTAATTCCCTGGCAGTTCAGTGGTTAGGATGCCATGTTTCACTGCTGAGGGCACTGGTGATTGTGGAACTAAGACCCCCAAGTCGCATGTCATGGCCAAAAAAACCCAGTTTCATAGTTTTGTTATTCTCAGACACTTTTGCTCAAGAGAACAAGCTTCAACAGGCATGCATAACTAAGCCACTTCTATGCAGTATTAGTCAGCAAATTTGGAAAACTCAGCAGTGGCCGCAGGACTGGAAGAGGTCAGTTTTCATCCCAATCTTAAAGAAGGGCAGTGCCAAAGAATGTTCAGACTACTGTACAGTTGTGCTCATTTCACATGCTAGTAAGGTTATGCTCAAAATCCTTCAAGCTAGGCCTCAGCAGTATGTTCTAGGCTTCTGGAACCGAGAACTTCCAGATATACAAGTTGGATTCAGAAAAGGCATAGGAATCAGACATCAAATTGCCGTTTGTTGGATCATAGAGAAAGCAAGGGAATTCCAGAAAAACATCTACCTCTGCTTCATGAACACCACTAAAGCCTTTGTGGATCACAGCAAACTGCGGAAAATTCCTAGAGATTAGAATGCCAGATCACCTTATCTGTCTCCTAAGAAAACTGTATGCAGATCAAGAAATGACAATTAGAACCAGACATGAACGACTAGTTCAAAATTGGGAAAGGAGTACAAGGCTGTGTATTGTCACCTTGCTTATTTAACTTATATGCAATGTACGTCATGGGAAATGCCAGGCTCAAGCTGGAATCAAAATTGCTAGGAGAAATATCAGCAACCTCAGACATGCAGATGATGCCACTCTAATGGCACAAAGTGAAGAGGAACTAGTCTCTTGATAAGGGTGAGAGTGAAAAAGCTGGCTTAAAATTCAATGTTCAAAAAATGAATATCATGGCATCTGGTCCCATCAGTTCAAGGCAAATAAGATGGGGAAAAAATGTACACAGTGACAAGTTTTATTTTCTCAGGCTCCAAAATCACTGTGGACAGTGACTGCAGCCATGAAATTAAAAGGCGCTTGCTCTTTGGAAGGAAATCTGTGACAAACCTAGTGTATTAAAAAGCAGAGATTATCACTTTGCCAACAAAGGTCCATATAGTCAAAGCTATGGTTTTGTTTTTTTTTTAAAGCTATGGTTTTTTCAGTAGTCCTATACAGATGTGAGTTGGACCATAAACAAGGCTGAACATTGAAGAATTGATTCTTTAAAACTGTGGTGTTGGAGGACTCTTGGAGGCCCTTAGACTGCAAGATCAAACCAGTCAATCCTAAAGGAAATCAACCCTGAATGTTCCTTGGAAGGACTGATGCTGAAGCTCCAATACTTTGGCCACCTGATGCGAAGAGCTGACTCATTGGAAAAGACCCTGATCCTGGAAAGATTAAAGGCAAAAGTAGGGGCTGGAAGAGGATGAGATGGTTAGATAACATTGCCAATTCAATGGACATGAATCTGAGCAAACTCTGGGTGATGGACAGGGGAGCCTGGCATGCTGTAGTCCATAGGGTTGGAAAGTCAGACACAACTTAGCGACTGAACAAAATAAATGCAGTATTAAGGAATGATGAGTAGAAAAGATTCAGAGGCACCGTTTCTTGCTTAGTAAGCAGTTTATTTGTTCTTAGTTCGACCACTTGACTTTTCATAAATACTCATCTCACATCTCCAATAAGGCTCCTTGAGAGCAGTGCACATACCTAAGTTTTGTCATGAATCAGCACCTGGTATATAACAGATGCACTCTTTCCTACCACCTCTTTTCTAATAATTTCCCACTAGCCAATGCTTTCCTAAGTGTGACAGTTCAAAGGTTTACAGGAAAACAGACCCAGCAGGATCACTTCAAAAGGGCGGTTATCGTCCAGTCCTTCTGATTACAGGAAAGTGTAACTGTTGCTTATGAACCTTAACACATGCTCGCTTTTCTTTCTCACAGATTCAGAAACTTCCAAAGGAATATTTATTTAAAATAAAATGTTTATTCATCTTCCACAGATAGGTATCTCTGCCTATGGTAATTTATATTGATTTTCCATTCACAAGACATCAAATTTTCTTTTTAAATATATTTAAGTAAAAGTAACTCAATTTAAAGAAAAACAAGAAACCCTGAAGTAATGCAGAGGTGGGACATAAATGAGGTAAAACATGGCAAAGGTGATTCACCAAGGACTAAAGTTTGGGAAACAATGCCCCAGGCAAAATATCCTCATTCTTGAGGGCAAGTGTGTGCTTCCAATGGTTCACGTGTAAGATTCTTCAGGCCTTTGAGAATTCACTGATATGACAGAATCAAATCACATGTGAACAAGATTCTGCTACCTCTTGTGAAGGAGGACCACATACCACACAGTGTACCACAAAAGCAGAGATCAAAAACCAAAGCCAAAGTAAATTCTTGAAACTTTATAAAAACAGTAAAAGCTTTATAAAGCAATATACATCCTAGTATTGAACTGCTCCCAGACCAAAAAATAATAAAAAGGGGTGCATTCAGCCAGTGGCTGTATTTAACAAGCAAAGTATCAGCAAAGTCTAATTATCCAACTTTTATTATTCCAACTACAGTGTAAACAGCAATGTCACAGCCACTTGGGGGAATGTACAACTTCTGCAGCCTTCACACCAAGGCAGAAAGCCACACGACTCTCTCTGTGAGACAGGCCTGTGAGGTACACTTTTCTGAAGGAAATGGCTGAGTCTCTTCACCAAAATAATATTCCAGTATTATATACCCTAGTACTACTTACAAACCAAAGGACAGGAATAATGCATTATATAACAGATCCCTTGAAACAGGGAAAGGAGGCTCATTCTGTGGGAACAGCATCTCTGGACTCTGCATCAGTCTGTCCCGCTGTGGCTTCTGCAGCAGCTGTGACCGTCACGGTGCTTTCTGACTGAGCTGCCATGGCTTCCGCTGCAACTCCAGCCTCAGCAGCACCACCTCCAGCTTCTGCTTCAGTGTTGCCCTTCTCAGGTGCCATTCCACAGGGGGTCTCTGCCTCGAGGTGGGGACCACTAGTGGCCTCAGCTGTGTCCGCAGGGTCGTCCCGTTTGGCCAGCATTTCACCACTTTCTGGAGCAGGTGCTTCTTCCCCATCTACTGCCCTCACTGCTGCCGTAATCACCTCAGCTAAGACCTGGGCCGCTACCTCCTCAGGTGTCTCTTCCTTATCCTCGCCTCCTAAATTCTCATCTCCTTCTATTTCTGCATCACCAGCTTCACTGGTGAAAGGGTCTTCACCCTGGCCAAGAAGAGGAAATCCAGGTTAGTGCAGTCTAAAGAACTGTCCAAATGAGAGACTGAAGCTCAGGCTGCTGGGAGTTCATGTTTTCATGACGGGCAGAGGCAACAAGAGAAACATTTTAAATCACATCAAGTGAGTCAATCCTACACGTACTCAGAAAAGACATCTCAGAAAAGCTTTACGAGTACTATTTTGCACTTGTTATTCAAGCATATAATGATGAGGAAAGGTTTAAAAAGGCATAGATATTCTTAATCCAATTTAAAAAAACCCAAAAACCTCATTTTAACAGGAAGTTCAAGCTTTTTTTTTTTTTTTTTGTGGACCATTTTTAAAGTCTTTATGAATCTAATACAATACCACTTCTCTTTTGTTTTTTTGGCCACCTGGCATGTAGGATCTTAGTTCTCTGACCTGGGATCAAACTAGCATCTCTTGCATTGGAAGGCAAATTCTTCACCACTGGACCACCAGGAAAAGTCCCAAGGCTCTTTCTAAAGTTTCATTTAAGCACACAGCCCTGGCATGAAAGTTACCCCTGTTTTACAGTGAAGAAAATGAAACTTACTAAACAGTATCACTAGCAGATCAGAAAATGTTTTAAAATACAGTGTTTAGGACTTTCCTGGCAGTCCAGTGGTTGAGACTCCCAGCTTCCACTACAGGGGACGTGCGTTCGATCCCTGGTTGAGGAAACTAAGATCCCACATACCAAAAAAATAATGGTGTGTAGGGAGTTCCCTGGTGGCCTCATGCTTAGGATTCTGAGCTTTCACTGTCACGGCCTGGATTTAGTCCTTGGTCAGAGAACTGAGATACCACAAGCTGTGAGGTAGGGCCAAAACAAAACCAAGTGTTTAGAAGCTTCAGCTAACAGCTGACTCCAGAAACTTTAAGTCTGTCTAAGCCACAAGGGAAAACCCTGATCAGTCATGGTTCTTACACTGGTTATTTAAATTCTATCCCTTTATGGCTGAAATGAATCTTTAAATACTGAAGCAATTAATAACTGAGAGGAGGGCAGGGTGTCCTCCTTGGGATTTTTTTTTGATTACTCTGCTCCTGATACTATGGCACTGCTAGCTCTTCCCTCTCCCTTGTTCCCCATCTTATTGTTGGTTGTCTCTGCCAGCAAAAACATGTTTTAGCATCTACATGGAGAATTATCATCTATTTCAGTTTTTTGTTTTGTTGTAAGCATTTCACCATTGTTTTGATTGCTATTTGATGGAGAGACAGTCTGGTTTTCTCATGGTGATAGTCAGCACCATTGCACAGATTAATCAAGCAGGACCATGTCCCCAGAGTTCCCAGGCAAGCAGTTAAGTCTCAGGGAATGCACAACTGTGGAATCTCCCAGCCCGATATATTCCAACATCTCTCAATTCTTCAAAAGACTCAGAAATGCTAAATACTGCACTTTGGATAGAATTCCAAATCCAGAGAGTTAGTTCATCCTCCATTTCCAAAGCTTTTCCCATCTGTTAGACTCTGAAGCACAAACCTTGAGGTATTTTTCCAGCATCTTCACTATATGTCTGTTGTTCAAAACACTCTTAGCCACATGGAGACTTGTTTTCTTGAACTGTTCAGCAGCCAACTACAAAGGGAATCAAACATGAGTTTTTAAAAATGGTGTGCACAGAGGAGCAACAGAATAAACCAGCCTGGGTACACTGACTTGTTCTGAGATTCATCCTATGCAACTAAAACCTTTCTTCAGTATGGCAAGTCCCCAAGTGCTGGACTCCAATAATGAAAGCAAGCAAGCACTGGAGAAGAATCAGAACTGAGTCTGTGAAATAGTGGGGATAAGTCTGAGACCTTAAAAAGCACAGGCACACCCCTTGTACCACGTGTACAAGCAAGGATGAAATAACATTTACAGATCAGAAGCTACGTGGACTCAGTAGGGGAAAAGGGCAAGCTTTTTCTTTTCATTTTTCTGAGTTATACTGACTCTACAAGTAAATTCTATAGCAGAAGTCTGAATGCTGCAAACATTTGACTGTTTTAGAGCTTAACACATTCAGATGATAATCCCTTGTTTGTATAGGGGTTTTTGCCTGGTCTTTAGTAATACCAGGAGATGGGCAGGCAGGTAGCTCCAATCTGGTAGTCAGGTAAACTAACCACAGAGATGCTAAACCAGGGCTTGGCAAGCTAGAGCCTGCAGGCCAGATGCGGCCACACCCATTCCTTTACTTAAGGCCTGTGGCTGTTTCTGCCCATCAGCCCCAGACTTGAGACTTGAGGATTAACAAGTTAACGCAGAGACCTGATGGCTTGCAAAGCTAAAAATATTAGTTTGACCCTTTATTAAAAAAAACAAAAAACTGCCAACACTTTGGCATTTAGCCTCAGGCCCCATCAGCTAGTAAGGATCAAACCAATCCCTGATCCTGAGTTCTCCAAACCATTCTGCTCTGAGTGGCCCTCAGCCTCAGCTTGTAAGAAATCCAGTTTTTCAGACTCTTTGCAGGGAATATTCTCAACCCAGGAAAATTTCCAGATACTGTGTTTAGTCAATCTTAAGCAACACATTTTCCTCACATTTTAACAGAAACTGGGCTGCATGTTACAATCACTTCATGAAATGATGGACTTGATGGAATATGGCAAAAGCCCCTAAAGGTGTTAGCTTCCACATGAGACACAAAGTGCTGAACCCCGCACATGGGCAGCCGGGACTGCTTGCACACCCCACACCGGGAGGCACTCACCCGGCGGTTGTGATTGTGGTCGACAGAGTGCAGGTGCCGCTGGAGGAGCTGGGGCTGCGCTGGGATCAGCATGTCACAGGCCAGGCAGTGGGCAGCCTCTATTTTCTTGAAGAAGTGCTCCTGGCCAATCCCTGTTGACAACACCCCAGTGTTGTGGGACTTGGGTCGGCATCCAAGTGATGCTTCCCTCTCACTCACTCCCCATCAGGGCTCACATTTTCTCCCCGTGGCCCTAAGAATTCAGTTAGGACAGAATCTGAAACACGCATCACCTGCCCTCCAGCAGGTGCGTGGAGACAAGAACACACGGCCTCCACACCTGGGAACTTTATTTTTAACTTTGCTCATCCTTCGGTCCTTTCTCTTCAAACTAAGGAGGAAAAACATCAGAGTGCTTAAACAGCACCCCAATAAGCTCCCTGTAGAGCTGTCATCTACATTAGGCCACACATGAAGGTTTCCTTCCCCTGCTAAGCACTCTTCCCATTTGTCTTTACTTTGTCACATTTTCAACCACCCTGAACTGGGCTTTGTGATCTGGACTAACACCCACCCCCAACCTCAGATCGTAACTCACCTTTGAAAGGATCTGGTTTTGGTTTTGTACTTTCCTTCTCCATTAGTTCCTGACGCCGCTTCTCAATTTTCTTATTTCTGTTTATAATGTATTCCTAGAGAGGTTGGGAGATGCACCAAATGAAATGAGGGGAGGGATGGCGCACGTGGGTATTTTTTCAACTGCACCAGAGGCAGCTCACCAAGGGTGGCTGCCAATCCCACGGTGGGTGGTGACAGCCTTATCTCAGCTGCTCTCAGGATGGGAAGACAGCCATCAGAGCAGCTCCATGGGCAGAATTAGTGTGAACTACAATGAGTGGAGCTCTCACTGTCCTTCTGCCTCAGGGACCTACACACTGCTATTCTGGAAAAAGAAGTCTTGGCCTAGTTTAGGCTTCCCTTCTCTGAGGGGGATCCAACACCTCTCGGATCACTGGGACACGCCGTGATGGAGGCTAAGTGTGATTTACCTGGAGGAATTCCACCGTCTTGTCAGGCAGCTTGGTACTTATAAAGCGCAGTGTCTCTTTGTGAAACTTGCTTTGCAAATGCTTCTGGATTTCTTCATCTTCAAAGCTACGGAACTTGCACACGGAACAGGCAAACTGAATCCTGGAGAAGAAAGACAAAAAGAAAAGCAGTGATGCAGATAACCAGCTCATCTCTGCATCAGAGTAACAGTTACTCCAAGCTTCCCCATATTAAGAATCAGTACAACCTTGTAAGTATTTCAGGAAATGATTCCTGTAGCACTTTACTACCATACCACTCTTTTTGGCCCAAAGAGGTGGAGACTTTTCAGAACTGTGGACTCCCTAAGTCTCTAGCCCACTGCTCTGGGGGCCTAGAACCCAACTCCATAGCTTCTCAGATGTTTCTTTCTGAAGCCACTTGGAAGATATAAGACAACTGACCCCATTTAGTACCACAGAATTCCTGATGATCTCACAAAATTCAAAACTCACATGATCTTAGTTCTCCAATGGGACTCAACGGAAGGACACATCATACCTAAGGATGAAAACTGAGGTTCCCAGAGCAGGGTATTGCTTCCCTCAGCTCTGCTCCTCGTGGAGTCTAACAGCAGAGGCCCTTTGGCACTCAGGAATCATCCTCTGCCAAATCAGAGTTCTGCTGGACAAGTGCCACAAGACACCCTTGCCTTTGCAGATACCCCCGAAAGAGGAGTGAAGAGGAAATCTCCTGGGCCCTGTGTGCACAACTGTCAGGAAGCCACCAAAGAAATACAGGGTTCCCACTTCCCTGCTGCATCTTGACCTCCCCTGTGACAACGTCTCCAATTTTTTTGAGGCTCGTCAGTCACTAGGGCAATCTAAGTGAAGGTCGCTCAGTTGTGTCTGACTATTTGCGACCCCATGGACTGTCCATAGAATTCTCCAGGTCAGAATACTGGAGTGAGTAGTCTTTCCCTCTCCAAGGGATCTTCCCAACCCAGGGATCGAACCAAGGTCTCCTGTACTGTGGGCGGATTCTTTACCAGCTGAGCCACAAGGGAAGCCCAGGGCAGTCTAAAGATTCCTTTAAAATAGTAATCTCAGTTCCCATGTGCCATGAAAACAGATCTAGAATAACCGTCATTTATTCATCTTTTTAAAGATAAGATTTCAGTAAATTCTGTAATACTGGGAATTCCTGCTACCCCGCTTTCCAGCCTCTACTGTTTGCTCTTTTGCTAAGTGTTACTTGCACAGGAAAACCATTATCCCCATTTGAGCCTTAAGGGCAAGGACTTCCTCTCAAGTCTTCAAGAGAACCTGCGCGCGGGGAAGTAGCCAGCTTGGTCAAGGCCGCCTCAACCATGTACTCCGGTGGTTTACGAGGGGAGGCGCACAGTGTGCTCACACCAATGCCCTTTGGGGTTTGCACTGCTGCTTCTAAATCTTGCAGTTAGCATCTATACATGTCAAACTCCACAAGTGGTTTGGATTTATATGGACAAAGCGCCCAAAACACCTCGGCAGCTTGGCTAAATGCACTTCACCTGTCCGGGATGACAGCCAAGAGACAAGGGAACTCCTCACAGGCCTGCAGGGGGGCAAGCAACACCAGCAAGGATAAGACTCAGTATGTTTCCCAAGTTTTGCCCCCCACCGACCTGACAATGCTTTCCTGACACACACCCGGAGTCAGATGGTAGGGTGCTGGATTGGAAAAGCAAGATAGGGAAGGACACAAAGAGCAGGTGGTCTGTAGTGGGAGTGGGGAGGGCAGGCCATGTCCCCGGCTCGTCCCAACCTTATCAGGCCCTGGGGGCGGGAGGGTGGAAATGAGGTGACCAGGCCTCTCGCCCCCTACACTACGGAGTGAAGACAGATGAGCTCAGGAGAGCCTTGACAGCGCCCACCTCATCGGCCTCCTCACCTGTCAGCTGCTCGGTCTCGCATCCTGTCTCTCCTCCTCTGCTTTTCCCTTCTCTTCTTCACTTCATCGTCCTCGTCTTCCTTTTCTCCTGCAACAGAGAAGTCGGTTCCAGACACTCTGAGGTGCCTGTAGAGGTGCTGAGCACCAGAGCCTTGACGGGGGCCACAGCTGTGCCACCATACCCCATGCTCTGCTGCGCCCTCCACGCACAGCAGGGTCAGGATACCCTGAGGCAGCAAGGGGCTGTCAAAGGCTCCCAAAAGGAGTGGGCCTTTGATGAGAACCCTCAGCAGTTCCCAGGGGAGTCACGTCACTCCCCCCCAAGGGCCTGATAAGGTTGGGATGGGCCAGGGACACAGCCCGCCCACCCCACTCACACTACGGCCCACCTGCTCTGTCCTTCCCTATCTTGCTTTTCCAATCCAGCACCCTACCATTGGGTCTTCTCCCAATGTTACTTAAGGAGACAGAGAAGCAATTCTTCCCAGATAGAGGCAGCAGCTGGAAGGCCTCAGAGAATAAAGCCAGCCACTCTACCGCCCTCCGTCCCACCTGCAGGTGGACCATGACAACTGTCCTGTTGGCCTCCTCTGAACTAGGGCCTCAGCAGGTCTGACAGTCCCTGGTGGCCCAGACCCTACCTCCCACTCACAAGAACCATCGCTCTCTGGCTCTCCCAGCGATATGCAGGAAGCAGTCCCAGAAACAAATGGGAAGAGACCAAGGGTCCTCCGTTCATCCCACGGGGCCAGCGCAGGCGCTCCGGGGAGAGCCGTGCAGCCCAGAGGTGCAGCCCGGGCCAGGGCCGGACGCTGAAACAAGGTTGGATAAGCATCTGAACTGTAACCCCTACCCCTGATGCCAGTCACGAGACTGTCCCACGAAGATGGCGACCGGCGTGCGCTGCTCAGAAGCCTCTCAAAAGGGCGTGTGGGATTTTTGGCAAGAGGTCACTGCCTGAAACTATTACTGCTGTTTAATAGCAAAGTCATCCCGGGTAGGCAGCAGGACCTGTGCGCAATAAACATGTCACCTTTGCTTTAGCATTTACCCCGCTGCACGAGCCGCTAAATGCTCTGTGTGGTCCCATGCTATGGATGTAATTGCTTCAATAAACAGGGCAGGAGGACCTCAGAGGGTTGGCTAAACCTGAACATGTAAGAGAAGGAGCATCTAAGTCAGGGCCTTCATAATTTATGGGAGCAGCCTGTGGGAAACCAGCTATGGACATACCCATGGGAACAGAAAAAGAAACAAGTGGCTGCCTCTCCATGCCCCTCCTAAAGGGCTTAACGTTCTGTTCTTGCCACTTATTGAGACTCAAGTCTCTCACACTGGAACTGCTGGGACCTGCTGAGCAGTGACTGCCTCGGGAGGATCCAGGCTCCCCCACCCCCTGCACCCCTCCCAGGCAGGCATCTGATCTCTGCCCCACACTGTGCCAGTGTCCCCACCACAGAGGCCGAAAGCATGGCCCTGGCCTGGCAAGCAAGGGAACTGTGGACAGAATGAAGCCCAGGAGAAAACAGGACACGGACCTGCACTGGCCAAAGGGGAAACAGAGAAGACAGGCTGGAGGGCGCCTTTTCTTTTCCCTCTTGTATTTCTGAGACTCTGTCTTCCCTACCACTTCGAGCTACTGCAGACACCCAAAGATGAGTCCCCCTGCCTCCAGGGCCGCACTGAGTGAGGCAAACAGACCTATTTCCAGCAAGTGTTGCTGCAAACACCACAGCAAAGCCTCGGAGCAAGCGGCAAGGCCAAGGCCCACCTGGCAGTCACGGCCCCTCTTCCGCCCTGAGCCTCCAGCCCCTCCTCCAACCTGGCTCAGAAGCCCAGCTGAGTTGGGCGTTAGGCAGTGAGTACAGGGCACCTGGGCAGACACAAGAAAGCTCAAAGGGATGCTGGGTGATGCCTACCTCTCTGCCTCCCGGAGTCAAAGAATTCGTCCTCCTGAAAAAGGGCACAAAGTCACACTGTGAGGTGGAATTTCTAGAACTCTCCATAACCAGCCAAGCTCCTTGCCACCACCTGGTGGTCACTCTGCCACCAGGAACACAGCTACAACATATCAGGACAAGTCCCAGGGCCATGGGATGGAGCCTGAGTGTCCTGTCACTAGTCCTGCTTGCCTTTCGGTTCTTTCTAAAGCTAGAGAACTAACCCTGGCAAATGCATAGTTCTGCACGTGGGAATACCAAAAGTTCATCCATCAACAATGTCAAGAAACCCCGATTTGTAGAAAGAGCTAGCCCTAGCACTCTTTACTGAAAATGGGATTTATGACATTTCCCAGCTACTTGTTTACATCGACCAAAGGTTATAACAAGTCAGGTATAGATAAAAACACATGTAACTGAACCCATTCCTTATACCTCAAGCTGATATATACAGATCTACCAGCAGGTACACAGAAATTCCCAGACTCAAGATCTGAACAACCTAGACAGGGGACAAGCAAGACAATCAGAAGAGCTGAAAAGTCACGGTACCCAGGGCCTTCCTCCCCTCCCCCAACCTCATCTGACCATCAGAAGCCCCTGGATGAAGCTTCCAGATTTCCAGGTCCTGCCCCAGACTTGGATCAGAGTTTGCAGGAGGCGGCAAACGCTTGCACCCCAGGTGCTTGTGCCTGGCCCTGGCTAAGAGCCAGCCTCCGACACCCATCTCCCATGACTGGTTTTTAAGAGCTGAAGGACAGGGATGCAACTCAGCACCAGCACAGAGCTGGTAGCAAGGAGTCTTCAGTGTCTATTTGAAAGCCTCAGTCTACATGGCCACTGCAGTTACCATGTGGCAGCCAGGCACATCACTGTGAGGACCTAGGAATGGCTGGAGAGAGGGCTGGGAATGTTTTCAGGAAAACAAGGATTGTTTCAAGTGGAAAACTCTCAGATATCAAGCTGCAAGTCTGGTTATTAAATCGACTCACGAGGTGGAGCTGAATCTACCACAGCAGCTGTTCCTGCCTCTCTGTAAGGAAGATGCTTAAGGAAGAAATCCCACACTAGAGACACTGGAGGTTGATCGGTAAAGGCAAACTTACACCCCTGAATTCTTCATCTCCTGACCGGAAGTCACCAGCTCCATCATCTACCAAACACAAAAGAAAAAAGAAAGTCAGCCCCGTGGCAGCGGGCTCACTTCCTGTTTTCACTTCCCAGACTCACTGTCCAGAGTGACTGTGCTCACCCTGACTACAGAGGGACTGTGGGAGTGCGAGTGACGCGTCCTTGAGTTCCCCTGTGTGCACTGTCCAGACAGGCAGGCACAGCACCAAACGTGCAACTGACCCATCCAATACCCACCCTGGCCTCCTGGCCCCAGGGCATACCGTTTTCAGAAAATTCTCCTTCGCTGTCAGCTCGAGCTTGTTTGGTGTCAGGCTCGTCATAAATCTGCAGCTGCTTCCGTTTCCTGCCCAAGCTTTCTGGGCCGCAGCGGTTGAACCCTCTCCGCCGAGGCTACAAACAGAAGCACACTCCCATGTATTGCTTACTCTGATGGTCCCCATTTGTCCCCTGAGCAATGAACAGCAAAGGGGTTGTAAGGTCAGAGAACAAGGGTAGAAAAGGTCTTTCAGAAAGCAAAGGAAGACACCATGGCTGGAACCTCTGCTGCCCTCACCTCCCCCCACCCCGCCCCCTCCCAAAACACAAAAACTTTATGCTGAGTGAAAGAAGCCAGATACAAAAGGCCACATATTACATGACTGCATTCATATGAAATGTCCAGAAGAACATCTAGAGAGACAAAAGCTAGATTAGCTGTTGCCATGGTTTGGGGGAGAGAAGAGGAAATGACTGCTAATAACAGGTTTCTTTCTGGGATGACGGAAACACTCTTAATTATATAGTAGTGAAGAGTGAAGGTTGCACAATTCTGTACATTTTCACTAGACGTTTCGTTGAACTGCACTTTAAAAAAGTGACATAAGGTCTCTAAGATACTTTAAAGATAAACATATAAAAAGAAATGCAAAAAAAAAAAAAAGAAAGAAAGAAATGCAAACAAGGCAGGTTAGAACTTAGCAAAGGCTTACCTGATCTCTGATCCGGGTCTGTGACCGGCCACATCCATAGGGCACAGGGTTGTCATAACCGCCTGCCCCCTGCATGCCCATCATGCCAAAGTCAGGGGCCATGGACTGGGAGAAGAGGGAAGGCGGGGGCCTGCCGGGGGAGGGGCCTCCAAGGCCCCGCCCACCCACATAGTTCATCTCTGTCCACGGAGTAGAAAGAGGCTCAGAGGAGGCTGCAGGAGGCATGAAGGGGTCGCCGCGCATAAACGTGCTGGGGTTGCTCCGGTCCTGGAAGCGGCCCTGGCCGCGGCCCCGCATGAAGCCATCGAGGGCGCCCCGCTCACGGGCTGGGTCCCGGCAGTCACTGTACTGACCACCAAAGCCACCATTGCGGTCGGGTCCCAGGTCAAAGTCATAGTCGTAGCTGTAACTGGGGCGGTAGGGATTGTGCTCAGGCAGGCAAGGCCTGGAATCATAGGGCTCAAACGACTGGAAGCGAAAGGAGCTGCAAAGAAAGCACAAGCCGTCCGTCACCACACTGTCCAGGCACGACCTCAACACCTCCTGCAAAGCGTACCCTTCATCCAGAGCAGCAAAACCAAACCGCCACGCACCCCTCTGAGACACTCACAAAGTAAAACAGGCCAAATCCCTCTGAAACACCACTGAACAAGGGGAGTGAAACTCTGGCCACAGGAACAGAGAGAGGATGCTGGGTGACTGATGCAGAAGGGGTCTTACATAGTTGAGCTAACAGGCATGCTCTAAGACCCAGCACCCAGGAAACCAGCAAGTCCTACCAAATGCCTCTGCCCCAACAAAGGCTCAACTTATCTGCCCTACACTGAGGAGGGAGCTGGGGAAGAGCCCTCCCAGGATGAGCAGGTGCCCACTCCCTCTATACAAAGCGGGGCACGCAAGACCCCCGGGAAGGGCTCAGGTCTATAATCACCTCTCCCGGTCCTGCATGCCCTCCCCACCGCTGCTGCTCCCGCCCCTTCCTCCTTCCTTGGACATCATGTCCAAACGCTGGTTGATCTTGGCGATGAGGGAGTCAGAACTGTCAGTGCATGGTTCTGGGCCATAAGAAGCCATGTGCATGGCAGGGCCCCCAGGCGCCAGGCCGTCGCTGGCCTTGGTGGCCTCCCATGAGGCTGGGCCGTAGTTGTAAGTTGCTCCCGCAGTGACGCTGGTGTTCTGGGCACCATAATAATTGTAGTTTTCATAACCTGATGGAGGGAGGAAGAGCTAAGTCAGATCTTAGCAGCTACAAGACCAGTCCCTGGAGGACAAGTCAGGCAAGGAGCACCTGCCACATGTGGAGAAGGAAGAGGGTCCTGGGACCAAGGGCTGCTGCCACTGCCCCAGCACTGCACATGTCACCTGCCAACAGGTGGCAGGAGGGCACAGCCTCAACTCTTAGCAGTGGGTTTTCTATCCCGAATCATAAGACTTGCTTCTCATCCAAAGCCAGAGAGCCCAGGAGCTGGCAGTTGGAAGACTGACGGACCCACCAAAGAGCAACCCTCCCTGCCCTCCACCTCCAGCAAGCTCCCTCGGAGGCCTGCCCCCAGCCCCCCCCATGTCTCAGACCCAGTCTGCTGAGCCTTCAGGACAACCATGAGCACACCAAGGGTGGGAGATGGGGGTCCCTGCACCCCAGCCCCTCTAGGTAGCTAGTCAGAGGCCTACTCACCCACCCACAGACCCCTAGAAGGGCCTACCTTGCCAACTGGCCACACCAGTTCCATATGTACCTTAGATCAGAAGAAACGAAAACATACAAGACTTTTGTTTACAAAACGAAGGCATCTAAGACATAATTCCTCACCCCCACCCAAGCCTAGACACCGAAGGACAGTCGTCACCTCACCCCACTATCCACAGGGCCAGAGCTGGGGGTGGCTAGGTCATTGCTACAAGGAGGCACCCTTGGTTGCCCACTGAGATCAGGAAAGGTGGGGTCCACTAGCTGTAAAACTCATTTCCTACAGAAATGCTCGGCTAAGCATAACCAGGGCATCTCTCCTAAGGAAGCTGTCCACCGGGGCAACAGAAAGGACACTGCGGTCTTTTTCCAGGAAGCTCATCCAACGTGAGCCAGCAGCGAAGAGGCTGCCCAGGCCAGGTCCCCAGGCAGAGTCATTCTAAAGTGCCAGTTTTCACCAGGCGCCAGATCTAAGGCACCGCCAACAGCACGGAGTGCACTGGTGGAAAATCATGTCCCCGGCTCAACTGAGCAGGGGACATCGTGTGCCTGAATAACACAAAAGGCCTTCCACTGGGAAACTAGGTGATGGGTGGAAAAATGACTCAAAAGCGACCCTGCTGCCAGTGGTGCAAGGGCCAAGTTCCAGGCTCAGAAAACAAAGGAAACCTTCAACCAATCCCCTGGAACAAATGCTGGCAAAAAGCAGAAAACCTTGCCCACCAGAGAGCACATTCTAGTTCTTCAAACACACTCAGCACCATGATGGGAACTCCTGAGCAAGGTCCATGAATGGGGGGCCAAATCTAGTCCACAGCCCTGTTTTTGTAGGCCCACAAGCTAAGAATGAGTTTTATGTTTTAAACAGTTGGGAAACAAACAAAAAAAGTTGAAATAATACTTCATAACATGCAAGTTCTGACAAAAGACACATTTTTATATCTGTCAAAATTCACAAAACTGTGAAACAGTAAAAACTAATGTAGACTATAGACCATACAATGTATGAACACTGGCTTATAACACATTCTGCTAACTACAATAATAAAAGGAATTGTGCCTGGGTCAAAGATAGGCTGTGGGTGTGCATATGAAGTTCTATGTACTATCTGATCAATCCCATAAGTCTAAAACTACTGAAAAGTCTGTTATTTATAAAAATCTTTGGTTATACCCTCGACTATTTACTTAAGATAGAAGAACACAAATTATTAAAATAAAGACTGTCCGATGACATAATGGAAATTACATGGTATACAAATTTCAGTGGCTTCTTGTAAACATTATTGGCACACAGTCCTACCTACTTGTATATAAACTGTCTATGGTGGCTTCTGCACTATAGAGATCACGTAGCCTGCAAAGTCAAAAAATTTACTATATGGTCCTTTACAAAAAAGGCTTCCTGGTTCCAGCTATGTTCATGCTAGTGCTGGGGGTTGGGGGGGAGGGGTAGCTCAAGCCTCCCTGACAAGCAGTTACCACTTACCCTGGGTGTTGGTAGGTCCAGTACTCCATGCCCCATAACCTGTGAACATATTTGTGAGTTACAGTCATATTTGTCACACCAGAGAACAAGTGCTTCTGAGGAGCATAAAGGAATCTCCTTGAAGGAGATGAGTGCCAGCCTTACAAGAAGGCAGCACAACCACAACAATGTCCCCCTAAAAGTCATCCCACAGCTGGCTTTTGCATTATCACACTCCACCTGCCTGAGGTCAAAGCAGAAAAAAGAGGAGGGGGGTGGGCTTCCAGGCAAGTCTGGTCCATCGCCTGCTGAGGGACCTGGACCTAAGCATCAACCCACAACTGAGGAAGACACAGGACTAGCTACCAGCTCACGCACCATTAGGACAGAGTCTCCACCCTCAGCCCCCTCAAGCAGCCATAACAACCTCATGACTGGGGACAAACTTTGATTATCTGGAGACAACAGCTGTGCCTCTGTAAGCCCTGCTTCTTTTGACTCTGAACTCTCCAGTGCTCCCCTGGGCCTTGAAGTCCCAGGGCTTCAGCCTGGTCCTAAGGCATCAGATGGCATTCCTCTCTGTGGTGGCTCCCCCTGCCCCTCCGACATTCCCATGACAGCATCTATCTGGTCCCTCTTCATCTGTGTCTCCAGCCTGGCACTGAACTGGGCACAGGCAACCATTCACACCTGTCAAATGACTTCACCTCTGCAAAGCCTCCTCTCTCTCAAATACATCCTGTCTCTCCTACCAGGACTGGAGGACAAAATGGCAACTCATTCCAGTACTCTTGATGAATGCCTACTGTATGCAGACACGGGACTGACACTCAGCTGCTGATCCCAGAATGCCATTCAGAGGGAGCTAGGGAGCTAAGCCTCAGATGTTACAGGACTTGAACTGAAGTCACTCTGCTGAAGGTTATCTCCCATCACACAGCTTTCCACGTCTGTGCAGCAAAGCAGAGAAGTAATTCTAACAGCAACTGACCAACTCTGTGGCACTAGTCTAACTAAGCAGCTTAAGCCCTTCACATAACCTCGCGGCCCTTGAAATAAGTACTGTTTACACTGTTGTACACAGGGGCTCCAGAGGATAAGTCACTTGCCCAAGAACACGTTGAGGAGCATGAAGAGGAGGACCTGGACCCAGACTGAGGTGCCTCCGATGGCCAATGAGCAACTCCTAAACCTCAACAAGTCTCAGGAAATAACTCTAGGTGGAAAAGCTACAGAAGGATTCTGGGAGGCCGCTGCACCTAAACCGAGTCTGAAAAGGTTGTAGGTAGGAAGGGGAGCAGGGTGTAATTCCTCTAAGCTAAGAGCACAGGTAAGGCAGGATTACTACTGGCTGAAAAATCTGGTTAGGGAGGCAGGCAAAGAATGGTGAAATCCAGTCAGACTGCAGAAAAGACCGGAGAACCAGGTTGAACCACTCAACGATCCTGGAGCCATCCAAGCACACCAGGACCTTTCTGCTTCTCTGCAATTTCTGCTGCTGGCCTCCTAACGCTGCCACCTTTCAAAACACGCGCCTTCCCTGCGGCAGCCAAGATCTGACCGCCTGAGTCTGAACCTCATAAGCCCGGAGAGAGAGATCCGCGCGGTCAAGCCCAGTCCTGCATATTCCAACTACTGTCTGCAGGCAAACGCGGCTTCCACCACGCAGCAAAGGCCTCCCAGGAGGCTCAGATTCCAGAGACAGAGCAAGTCGCCCGAGGGCCGTCCTGCCGCCGGCCCTGAAACCCAAGTGGGTAAAGGGCTCTTTCCCCCCTCACACAGCCCCTCTGGCGTCTCCAGGCCACCAGAGAGGACAATGTTTAGGAGAACCACCAGTCTGTCACGACCCTAGAGCACATCGGGTTGCCAGGCTTTGATCAAGAAAGTACCCCGCATCTGACCCTCAGTGTCTTGTCCCAGATCTGCAGGAGCCAGGTCCGCGACAGGCGCCCAGTGAGGCTGATCACTGCTGAGGCTACACTAGGCCCCGCTGCTCTGCACCGCCTGGCTGGCGGCAAGGGGTCCGAGCCAGCGCCGCCCACACGGCCTTCGGGACCAGCGCCCCAGGCCTCCTGTGCCACACGGAGGCCCCAGCCAACCCCGCAGGTTCCCAGACAGGCACGACAGCCCGGGAACAGGCAGCGGTCCCGTCTCGGTCCCAGGCCGCAGACCCCGCGCCCCACGAGCTCCCGCCATAGCTCCGCCCCCCCCCCCGCGCCGCCATTTTGTGGCGTCTTCCAAAAGGAACACCGGGCCTGCAGAGCGGCGGGGTTCGGCAGGGACCGGCCGATCCAGCCGGGGCTGAAAAACTGGAACGGCCCCGACTGTCTGAAGCGCCCCCCGAAGTCCGCCCCATGGTCAGCCCGCCGAACTCGGCCAACGTCCTCAGGCCCCGTCGGCCAATCCGCACGCAGCGCCCCGGGAACGACAGGGCCAAGGTCCAATGAGCTGCGCGCGCGCGCCCCGGCCGCCTTTCCACAAGACCGAACTGCGGTAACCGCGCTCGGGTGTAGTCTCCGGCCCGCGGCCCCCTGCATGGAGTCCGAACTGTGCCCCGACACCACCTTCCCGCCCCACCCCGCAGAGTCGCCCACACCAACCTCCGTAGCCCTGATCCATGTCCTCAGCTCCGCCCGCCAAGCAGCTCCTTTTTCTAGGCTACCACAGGACGCATGCGCTCAACGCACTTCCCGCCGTCCTCTACTGGTAGACCAGGAGCATACGTCACCCCTGCTACGCGATACCATTGGCCGTAGTTCACGGCGGGCCCTCCTTTATCACCCCGGCTGGCCTTCCGTTTGTTCCGGGTCGGAGTTCGTAGCTTGCTAGTTTTGCTCCTGGCCTCTGTGCCTCACCTCTCGCACCTCTCTTGTCGCCAATGCGCAGGCGCAACCCCACCACCCTAGGTCCCACCCGCAGACACACACAGCCCAGCGGTGAAGCCTGGATACCCGCCCAGGCGGACCGTGCAGCACACAGGCAAAAGACGACGACGAGGTGGGATGGGAAGAACTTTTATTAGACTCAGCTTCCAGCCTCGGCCACGCGGGCCCCGCCCACCCCGAGTCATGGAGCGCCCCCTCCTCCCTCCTCGTCGTCGTCAGCCTCCACGTCGAGGCCCGGGATGCCTCGGATCTGGCGCTCCAGCGCCCCGCCCAGTAGGGGCACGGCCTCCTCGTCTTCCTCCGGGGGCGGGGGCGGGGGTGGGGACGCGGTCCCGGGTACTGGCTCTGGAGGCACTGGGGGCTGCGCCGGCGCGCCCTCTGCACCCACCGCGACCCCGGCCGCTTCGACCAGCGCCCCCTCATCAAGGGCACCTCCCTCGGCCTCCTCTTGTTCCTTCTCCTCCTCTGGGCTGTCAGTAAAAGGGTTCTCACCCTGCGGAGAGGGGCGCGACATGAAGAACGGGAGAACCCGCGGGGTCGTGGCTGGGGACTGGGCCGGTGAGCCAGGGGCGTGCACCTCACCTTCAGATAGCGCTCCAGCTTCTTACTGATTAGCTTGTTGTTTAGGATGCTGCGAGCCACCATGAGCGAGGACTTCTTAGACTGCTCCATCATGAGCTGCGGGCAAGGCAGGCAGGGCTGCAGAGGCTGACCCAGGCATTCCAAAGGAGCCCCCCACCCTCACATCGCCGGGTGGGGTAGAGCCCACACCCACACACCTCTCCACCTCCACCTAGGGACCCAGCACTGCCAATGACTACAACCAGACTGCGTTAGGTCTGTAAGTGGACCCTTGAGCACAAGCGTGGGTTCACTCTACAAGCATGGAGCCACGACCCGATTTGATCTTTCCTCAAATGGCCCATCTTTCCACGCCATACTTACTGTAACTGATTAAAGTCTTATGTCTTTACAGCTGTACTGCAGCGATCTGACTTGCTTACATAAAAATTTATAAGCAGTGAACAAACCTACTAAAAATCAAATGTGCAACTCCTAACAAGAGGGCAACTGCCCTAAAACACACATAACTCTACAGGATAAACAGGGAGGATATAAAAGCAGGAAAAGAATGTCAAACAGTATGTTTAAGTGATATGAAAGTGTTAGTTGCTCAGTCGTGTCCGACTCTTTGCGACCCCATTGACTGTAGCCCCGTCAGGCTCCTCTGTCTATGGGATTCTCCAGACAAGAATACTGTAATGGGTTGCCATTCCCTCCCTTCTCCAGGGGATCTTCCCCACCCAGGGACTGAGACCAGGTCTCCCACATTGCAGGCAGATTCTTTTATGATCTGAGCCACCAGGGAAGCCCTTAAGTGATATACATCCTTTGAATCCATAGGATTCCCAAGATAAAGAATTACACCCTCAAAATGTAAAGGTTGAAAAGACAGTTACACTCTTGGTGAAAGGCTCAAGTGTTTATTTTCTGAAAAATAATTTCAATAGAACTCATTGGAAAAGATCCTGATGCTGTGAAAGATTGAGGGCGACAGAGGATGAGATGGTTGGATGGCATCACCGACTCAATGGACATGAGTCTGCACCACTCCAGGAGATAGTCAAGGACAGGGAAGCCTAGCATGCTGCAGTCCATGAGGTCGCAAAGAGTTGGACATGACTCAGCGACTGAACAATAATCAAAAGTAAAAATTTTTCTCAGCAATTCCTCCCTGGAGTCTAGCCTAAGTTTAAAATTGGGAACATGCAAGCACACTGGTTGCAGAGGTGAAAAATTGGAAAGCACCTTAGTGTTCTTCAGTGGAAAAGTGGTTACATAAGCCAGACATTCAGAAGAACACCATGCAGTCTTAAAACAGGGCTTCTCTCTCCCCTGGCCTAAGATGTGTGACACAACAGAGTGCGGAGCATGCCAGTGTCTGGGAGGATTTACACCAAAATGCTACATGATTTTCTCCGTGGTGAGTGAAGGCAACTCACTTCCATCATTAACGCAAGTAATGGTAACCCAAGTATAAAGCCATAAACAGAAAAAAAAAAAGTAAAGCTATTTTTGGAGGGGCAGGGAAGCTAACCTTCAGGACTTCTACTCAACCCTAGCCAACTCTTTACATCGCATTTCAGAAAATCACTTCATTTGTCTGTTTCTATTCCCTTTCCCCACCGTCATCTTTTTTTTTCTTTTTACTTGGGGAAAATAGTCCTCATGTATGCTCAAAATGAAACAAGTTAAAGATGCACAAAAGAAAACTGTCTACATACTGGTTTCCCCTAATGGGGAATAAAAGGGATAATTGGGATAATAAAAGGGATAATTCTAATCACAGGTGTAGTTGCGGGTACTTTAAACTCTGGAGCACTTACAAGGCTGTAGTAGAAATGGATATCCCGTGGATATTATATGTTAAATCACGTGTTATCTGTGGAATACACACTCTCAATGTGCACACCGTTGACTACAGCTACAGAAGTGTTCCTTTAGCTGTGACTCAATTTTCTCTAAGGGCAGAAACGTGTCACATTCCATTATTTGTAAAGTCACCAGCTGTTTGCTTTCGTTACTTTTGCTACACTCATATTCTTTGTATTCAGGTAACTCAAGAACAAATATACAGAGATGCAATAAAAGTGAATTGCTTGATATATATTACGTCATGTATATCAAGCACAGCAATAAAACAAAAATCTCATATGTTTAAATTTTAGGGTTTTTGCTTTTGTGATTTTTTAAAAAATATACTTGCCTAACATGCATGTGCTGTTAAAAAAAATAGTTAACATGGAAATAACTTGAGATGATGGCTTTGTTTAATATCTTATGATATTTTTATGAATAATCCAAGTATAATGTGGAATAAAAATTTTATGAATGGAAAAAAAAAGATGCACAATTAGGATACTATTACATCTTACTCACTGACACACTATCTTAACTCCCTCTAGGTGCACAGACAGACACACCAGATTGTCTCCCAACTGAGCAAACTTAGTATTTTCAGATTTTTGCTATGATAACCAAATTAAGGATAAACTTAAATACTTCCATGCTAGTGCTTTTAATCCTACTGAACAGGTTCCCTAAAGTGACAGTGCCTGAGTACTCTGCAAAAACACTGTAGGCTGTGCTTCTTCCACCTGTACTAAGACAATGTACTTGTCCCCGCCTCTCCATCAGCTTTAGATGTTTACCACTATTGAATGTTTTTCCTGTAGGGTGAGAGAAAGAATGTATGCTGCCTCCCGTGGCATTGCCCTGCCCACCAGCGAATCCGATATGCACACTGGGCTGTCTGTCCGGATTTCTATGAAGTCATCTCTTCCACGGTCTCTTGGTTTCCTAGCTTGTTCAGGAAGGCTTCCTTGAATGTCAAGGTGAACAGTCTTCGAAATGTTGTTCTTTTTTCCCCACATTCAAGATCTTGAGAATTTAATATACGGTATGAGGTAGGAGTCCAACTTTCCTTTCCAGAAATGTGTAAGATAAACCATTATTTCCCCCCATCAAATTGACATGGAGGTCTACAGACGTCCCTCATCTGCAAATCTGAAATCCAAAAGGTTTTTCTCCTAAAATTCATTTGGTGCAAATTATGAGCTGACATATTTTTATACCATCTTTATTTACCCTACCTAAACAAGTCACTTGAAGAATTATCAATGGTTTAACTGCAAGGCGCTTTCTCAGATTCTGCTGGGGATGTTGGCAATCCTATCATGTAGCTGTTCTGGAATCCAAAAATTATTTTAAAAAACATCCCGGTTTCTGATAAGGGATCTGCAAATGACTATAATACTGAGTTCCAAAAACAAAGCAGAGAGGGTTATTTCATTAGACTCTATTCTAGCTCCACTCTTTTTTTATTTTGTTTCCCACTCTTTTCTTAAATCACTATGCCAATATCATTTGTTTTCAATTACAGTGACTCTACATGAGTTATATATCTGTTACACCAAGTCCCTGTACTCACTGACTGTTGTATAATTTTCCTGGCTATTAGACTTAACTCTGTCAATAGTAATATGGGAGGAACTGGTTTTTGTTTTATTTTGCTATTAAATCTCTCATCTAAGAACTTGGTACTTCCTTCCATTCACTGAGGTCTTGCTTGTTTCATATCCTTGAATTTAAGATCCCATACCTTTCTTCTTTACATTCCTAGTTATTTCACACATTCTGTGGTTATTGTGAATAGATGTTTCCTCATTTATGTTTCTAATTGGTTATTACTATTAGAATGGATAAAAACTACTACTACTTTGAAAGTGAAAGTCACTCAGTTGTGACTCTTTGCAACTCCATGGACTATACAGTCCATGGAATTCTCCAGGCCAGAATACTGAAGTGGTTAACCTATCCCTTTTCCAGCAGATCTTCCCAACCCCGGAATTGAACCAAGGTTTCCCGCACTGCAGGCAGATTCTTTACCAGCTGAGCCACAAGGGAAGCCCAAGAATACTGGAGTGGGTAACCTCTCCCTTCTCCAGCAGAGATTCCCAACCCCCGGAATCAAACCCAGGTCTCCTGCATTGCAGGTGGATTTTTTACCAGGTGAGCTATCAGGAAAGCCTACTTTTGGTATGTCCTAACCCTCCATGCCAGCAAATTTGGAAAACTCAGCAGTGGCCACAGGACTGGAAAAGGTCAGTTTTCATTCCAATCCCAAAGAAAGGCAATCCCAGAGAATGCTCAGTTGCATTCATCTCACACGCT